CAGTCAACCACCCTTTTCGGGACCTTTTATGAATTTTATTCAGTGTTTCTTTAGGAAAACAACTTATGACTTCTAGAAGAGCACTTTTCAGCAGTGAGGAGCAGCTCTTTATAAATGTTATGGAGTTGCTCCAATTATTTTAAAGCATTCTTTTATTGACTTACTTAACCTTGTATTAATCATTTTTGGGTTCCTTCCTATGTCAGTGCTGGGACCTCTATTTACTTGTCCTTAGTTTTCCTCCCTGTTGGCCTGACTGAATCACCCCCCTTCTCCTTTGAGTCTGTCCAGTCTTTCTGCAGGAGCCCAGAACTTGGGGTCAAAAAATCAATTCATGTTTAAGCCTGTTCATTTACTGACTTTGTAAGTGAAAATTTTATCATTACTACTGCCCAATTTTTTTCTATCTTGTCTTGATAACAACAGTAAAGGGGAAAAAAGGTAGATTATAATAGCTTAGTAAAACTCTAGTTATTAACTGTGCAGACGAGTGAATGTGAAGTAGTGTTGCAGAGGACTATTTATGCTCCTGAAGCCTGGCAGTTTTTATTCCTTATAAGTGAGGAATTTAGCACATATTTCAGATTTACCAGCTTTTAAAGTAATTTTTAAATTCTGGACCTCTTAGTCCCTTTTCTGCAGCACTTTGTACATAATATTATATTTGTTTATGTGGTTCACATTCTGTATTCTATTTCAGCAGCTAGTATAATTCCTGCATGTATCAGAACTCACTCTTTTTTTGGGTAGATACCAGCGTTTCCCCATCACAGGACACCCCATTGTATTTAAATATCAAAATGTTTTATATCTAAGTTTCAAACATATCTGTTCTTTAAGTGAGACATGAATGTCAGGTAAATTCTCCATCATAATTTCAATGAAAGGGTGATGAAGAACTTAAATGAATTATCCAAAGAGAGTGAAACTTTTATAGATTTTCTCCCAACAATGTGTAAATATAAGCTTGGCTAGCTTGGTATAAATTTTTGTTTTATTTAGTTTTAGTATTTAAAAAATTCTTTAAAACTTAAAAACAATAGTTTAATTTAAATGCAGATCAAAACTACACTGAAATTTCATCTTATTCCAGTCAGAATGGCAGCTGTCAAGAATACCAACAGTAATAAATGCTAGAGAGGATGTGGAGGAAAAGGGACACCCCTGTTGATGGGATTGTAAATTAGCACAAGCACTATGGAAATCAGTTTGGAGGTTCTTAAAATGACCAGGAATAAAATGACCAAATGACCTAGCTATACCACTCCTCAGTATCTATCCTACAGAATTAAATTCAACCTAGTATAGAGATAAATGAATATCCTTGTTAAAGCAGCACAATTCACAATGGAACCAGCCTATATGTCTGTCATTGGATGAACGGATAAAGAAGATATGGTATATGTATGCAATGGAGTTTTATTCAGCCAAAAATAAGAATGAAATTTCGTAATTTGCAGGAAAGTGGATGGAACTTGAGAATATAACATTAAGTGAAATAAACTATATTGAGAAGATCAAGGGTCATATGTTTTCTTTTAAATATGGAAGCTAGAAAGGAAAAAGGAAAAGAAAGGGCTATGTGTGTATGTGTGTGTGGTGGGGAATCTCAGGGAGATCAGAGGGAAATTAGTAGGGTAGAGGAAAGGAACCCTGGGAGGGAGGAAACGCTTGGGAATGATATTGGCCCAATTCTGTTGTTATATCATGTGCATTTACAGATGTGTAACAGTGAATCCCATCATTATGAACAATTATACTGAACCAATTAAAAATATGAAAATACCAGAAAACAAAATGTACTAGTTATTAAAAAAATGTGAAGTTGTTGATTGAATAGTGTCTATAAACCAAGTTTTTTTAATCTTCAAAATTTTTTTTTTTAGTTATAGGTGGACACAACATCTTTTTTTGTTGTTGTTATTTATTTACTTTTATGTGGTGCTGAGGATTGAACCCAGTGCAAGGCAGGTGCTCTGCCACTGAGCTACAAGCCCAGCCCTAAAATAACTTTTGATCAGTTTTGGCTTCAATAACTGAAAGGCCCAAGGGCCTGAGGAAAGCAGAGCAGCCTTAATTCAAACCAGGGCTGGTTGACAGCAGTGGCAGGGCGTGGGTTCATTGCCTTGTGGTGCCTTAGGAACAGTGAATATACCCTCAGGCTCAAATCATCTTTAAAAAATAAATCTTAATAGTGAATATTAATCCCCAGATTAATTCAAAGCTTATTTAAGCCAAAACAGTGATTTGTAAAATAACTATGTGTGTATAAAGAGACAAAAGGTATTTGTTTTAGATATTCTTTTATTTTCCTCTTTAAAATCATAGGTATGCTCAAACATTAATATAAGGTAGAATATATAATTTTTCTAATTTTTACAGCTTGCCTGTGTGACTATTTATTGCTTCAAATGTTAAATGTCACTAATGTATAAAAGGAGTATTTTAAATTCTGATTTTATGGAATTAAATGTTAAATTGAGCATCTATTGTGATTTCTAGATTTTTAAAAATTTCTTTGTCATTTGAAAAGAAAGTAGGCAATTAAAACTATTTTGATGGAAGTCCACACACACATTAATCCTTTTTTTTTTCCCCCGAAGAAGTAGTTTTGGTGTTCCTAATTTCATTGACTCTTTTAGCTGTGCCCAAAGTATTTCCAAGGATTTAATAAGTAGATAATGAAAGATGGGATTTACTTTCTTTTACTAATTAAAGCTGAAGTCATGAATTATTATAATTGCCAAAGCAACTGATGTGTGACTTACTGCTGTTTATTGAGAAAAAACAAAAAAACAAATTTGGCTCATTTATACCATTAGTTCTATAGTTTTCAAACTCTGGGTATTTGTTTATAGAAAATCCCGAGATCATATATGTGGATCAACCTGTGTGTCATGTATCTGTGACTGTGTGCACACATGTCCCTCAGTGTGGGTATGGGCTGAAATACAGGGAGCACTTCCCGTCACAGTGCTTCAGATCCTTACCACGTGTATGTATTTACTCTCATAGAAGAAAACGTCAGTAAGTTAAGTGTGCTTTTGTGTTTCTGCGCATGTTGTTGCTGTGCTTTCTGCAGCAAACACACAGTGTGGGTCAAGAAAACAGGAGCTGCAGATTAGGTGGCTGTCGCCTTCGCTGGGCAGGCTTCCCTTTCTTTCGACCTTTTCCTCCTCCCCTGCCTCAGGTTGGTGTGTGCTGTGAGGACCCACAGAACTCAGGAGGACTGCTGGGTTACTGTGGCTGCAGTTTGTCAAGCAGAGAGTCTCTTTGAGCTTCCCTGATTCACAAAGATCCCAGCATTTTAGAAGCAAGTCCTAGGTACTCTGGTTTTACACGTTAAGAACCTGAGTCCTAAGAGGTGTCCTGTTATAGAATCATTCTAGGACTGGGATCCTGAAATGTTTTTGTCTTTTGAATCATAGCAGTTTTTTGTTTTTTTTTATCATAGACAACAACTAGGTGCAACCGTGGGTGTAGCGACATTCCCCTAGTGGTTTTGTGAGGCGCGTTGGCTTCTTAGTGGTGATGGAAGTCCCAAATCTGAAGCCTCCACCTTTTAACGGGTCCTCCGCTTATCCCAGGCTGCCCATGGCAATCTTATGTTCCTTACACTAAAAAAGCAGTGCGGGAGACTGCGGTGGCACACTGTGTTCCGCGTCAGCCAGAACTGGGGTGTAAGTCCTGCCTTTGCTTCACTCACCCAGTGGCACTTAACCACTGAGCCACATCTCCAGACTTTGTTTATATTTTATTTTAGAGACAGGGTCTCATTGAGTTGTTTAGGGCCTCACTAAGTTGCTAAGGCTGGCTTTGAACTCACAACCCTCCTGCCTCAGCCTTCTGAGCTGCTGGGATTACAGGTGTGTGCCACCTCTCCTGGCTGCCTTGGTCAAGTCACCTCTCTGAACCTCTTGTCCTGAGGATGGAATAATGTCACGAGTCTGAGGTGCCTGGTCCAGGGATGATATGTGTGGATTTCTGAACTGCTTCTAGCTTAATAAGCAAAATGGATCAATTTAAGAACCGCTTTGTTCAGTCGATGCCACCTTTGGGTTCTTCTCCATCAGGCCATGACCCTCCTTTGCACCTGGTGTTTTGCAGTTGTAGCTTGGAGGTGGCAGTCCATACCCTCATTTCAGCAGTCGCTGGAGCATCTGATGGGTGCCTCTTGTACAACCACCTGCTCCAGGCCGTGAGGTGAATGAAGAGTGTACTGATATATTTTAGGCTCTGAAACTTGCACATAGAAAGTCATTGGTAGTTGATGTTTGTTGAAGGAAGAAAGATCCCACTGAGAAGTCTGCTCTGGTGGGAGAGGTATGATGTTCTCTCTTACATAAGGGCAGCATAGAGTTGAACGTGATGTGCTTTGTGAGCATCAACCTGGGAAAGAAAGAGCCACTCTTGCATTCTTGCTGCTCCACTGAGGAAAAACTCAGTTGCTCAGAAAAAGTGAGATTTAATGAGATGAGTGTTGGAGGAGCATGGAGGTGAGGTCTTCAGAGTGTCACATAGAACACTGCCTGCAGTTGCTTGCCGTGTGAGGAGGTAAGGCTGGGCCTTCAGTGCCATCGCGGAGTCAGCCCTTGACGGCCCATGCTTCAGAAGCCAGGCAGGTCTGCTATAGAAACAGGAAAGCCAGTTTGTAGTGCTGACTTGAGATCACGTCTGCCTTTTCCTTATTTGATCAGCTTCTCTCTGGATTCCAGAAGGCCCCAGGGGTGTCTTTATTTTTTTGTGTTTGTTATCTAGCCTGCTATTCCCCTCTATTAGCACGGGCAGTGGGGATTGACTTTGTAGAACCACTGTATATGAATGTCTTCTATTTATGAGGATTCATTGATAACATAGGGAATGTGTCATTACTTGAAAAATCATGGGGATCTAAGAGTCTACATTTTTGAACTTGATTTCATATCACAGCATTGAACCATAAATTCCATCCTCTGCCATTCTGGGTCATAAGCTTCATGGTTATCTTTTTGCCTCTACAGAAATAGAAAAGTTTCAAAAAGGAGAAGGCAAGGATGAAGAAAAGTACATTGACGTGGTGATTAATAAGAACATGAAGCTGGGACAGAAGGTGTTGATTCCTGTAAAACAGTTTCCTAAGGTAAGACCATGAGGTCTACGCTGCAGATGCATTGACTCAACCCGGGGAGTGGGTGGTTGGTTTATATGCTGTTGGGTGTTTTCTAGAGATGTTTCTCTCAACACCCCCCATGTATATATAATTAGAAGCTTGTTTTTAAGTTAATAAGTAGTGTAACAGCAAACTTAGCGGGTTTAGTGGTTCTCTCCTTTCTGTTTGACTTTTGTGTGAGTTGTGGAGCCCCCAAGGAAATTACTTATGAGTCCTGCTGTCAGCGTGGGCAGAGGTCAGACTTGTTTTCTCATTGGCAATATGAAGTTGGACAGTGAGAACTTAAAATGATCATCCGTGTTAAATGCTTAGAACAAGGCTTAGTGCATATATGTTCAAAATGTCATGTATTCTAATGTTATTTTAATTTCTTCTGTTTTGTCTTTTTCTATACATTATTGGTGCATGCTGTTGCACTTGTCAGTAATTTATTTATTTTTTTTTTGTTGCTGAATATTACCACAGTTTATCTCATCTGTTTGCCTAGATAGTTTTCACTTTAGATTGTTAAAAGTTGAACTGCTGTGGGCATTTCTATACAAATAATTTTGAGACACATCTTCTCACTTCTCCTGGGTAAAGTACCGGTGTCATCACTTCTGTGTATTTATTTTTGAAAGACACATGCTTTTTTTTCCTCCTTAAGTGGCCATAACTTGTCACATGTCTACAAATAAAGCATGCAAGTTGTGATTGCCCTATATTATCAATATTTGGTGCTGTCATTTTAAAATTTATTTTAGTTATTTTTATGGTATGTCAGTATCCTTTTTTAATGTCAACTTGCAACTCATAATTTTGTGCAATTTTTCATATACTAATTGACCATTCACATATCTTCTTTTGTGAGGTTTATACCTTTTACCTGTTTGTAAATGAGTTGTGTGTCTTTATCACTGATTGGCAGGAGTTTTGTACATATCATAGAGATAAGTCTTTTGTTAGATATGCTCTTTGCACATATTTGGCTCAGTCTATGGCTTGCCTATTGTTTCTTTGATGGCTTTGTGATAAGCCCACATTCTCAATTTTGATTGGGCCAGATTCATCAGTATTTTCTTTTATGGTTATTGCCTTCTGTGCATTGAAAAATCTTTGCAAACCTTATGGAAATACTAGAGTTCTTGGGAAGTTATGAATATATTCTGTGTTTTCTCTGAAAGCTTTTTATCATTTAGCTCTTACTGTTTCGTGATGCATTTCAGATGAATTTTTGCATATGGTATGACATAGAGTTTTGCTGTGGTTTGAATGCATCTTCCAAAAATTCATGGGCTGGGAATTCAGTCGCTCTGTTCATAAATTAATGGTGTTTGGAGATAAGGTCTTTGGGAGGTAGTCAGGGTTAGATTAGTGTATGAGGGTGGGGCACCTTGATGGCATTGAGTAACTTTATAATAAGTGACATCCAAAATGTCTTGCTCCATGTTATGAGGCAGCAAGAAGGCCCTCAGTGAATTCCAAGCAGATGCTGATACCATATTCTTTGACTTTCCAGTCTCCAGAACTATTAGCCAAAAAAAACTTATGTTTTTTTTTTTTTAAGAATTACCCAGTTTCAGTTATTTTATTATATCAACAGAAAATGTATTAAGACAAAGGTCAGTTTCTTTTTTTTTTTTTTTTTGGTACCATCGATTGACTCCACGAGTGCCACTGAGCCACATCCTCAGCCCTTTTTATTTTTATTTTAGTTTTGAGACAGAGTCTTTCTAAGTTGCTGAGGCTGGCTTTGAACTTGCAATCCTCCTGCTTCAGCCTCCGGAGTCACTGGGATTATAGGTGTGTGCTGCTGCTCCTGGCTCAGGTTCATTTTTTCCCACATGAGCGTCTATTTTTCTCAGAACTGCTTATTGAAAGGTGTTGTCTCTCCTCTAATTTTTTAGCACCTTTAATGGCAATCAGATGGCTGAGTAAATTAAGGTGTATTTCTGAGCTTTTTATTCTGATTCATTGATCTATTCATGGATCCTTATACAAGTACCACTGTGTCTTGTTTTCTGTAGCTTTGTATAGTGAGGCCTGAAAGTTAGATAATGTAGTGTTCCTCCAATTGTGTCCTCTTTTTTCATGATTGCTTAGATACTGTAGGTCCTTTATAGTTCAAAACAAAGTTAAGAATCCATTTGTTAATTTCAACAAAATGACTATGATTATGATTGCAGTTGCAATGAGTCTGTTGAGCACTTTCCTGAATATGGCATATGTCTTTATTTATTTAGATATTCTTTATTTTCTACTGACAGCATTGTAGAGTATGGGTACTTGTAGGGTATGGGTTCTTGTAGGGTATGGGTCTTACATGTTATGTTAAACTTACCCTAGTTATTTTATGCTTTGACACTATTGAATAATGAATCTTTTTAAATTTTCATTTTCCAAGTGTTTGTTTCTAATATGAAATTAGCACATTGTGAATATGAGCTGCTTTGTGAAATCATTAGTCTTTTAGATTTTTGTAGACTTCTTATGATTTCTGTGTACATAATCATATCATCTGCTTTATAAGTTTAATTCTTCCATTACAATTTTTATGCCTTTATATTTATTTTGCTGACAGTAATGTATTGGCTGGTATCTCCAGTGTGACGCTGAGTACATGGTGAGAGAGGAGCCCTTCCCTCATTACCAGTCGAGGAGGAGGGCTCATAGTATTTTTTTTTAATGTCTCTTTCCTGCTCCTTCCTCCCTCTTCCCCCTCTGCCCTTTTGCTTCCTCATTGGGGCTCCTAGTATTTTGTCATCAGATTGACACCAGCTGCATGCTTTCCACTGCCAGTCATTGGGTGGAAGTCCCCTGCTGTTCACGTCTGAGCGTTTTGATCTGGATGGATGGTGAGGTTTCCTGACTGTTTTTCTGCGCCGTCAAAGGCACACAGGTGTAGCTTCCTTTTACTGAGGGAGTCTTGGTCGTGATCTTCTGGGTGGCCTTCGTGCCTCTCCTTGGACACTGCTGGCAGCAGCATGTTGAACTCACGTGGTGATGATCACTGGCATCTGAGTTCTGCCTGGCATGGGCCTAAGGCCCTCTGTGACATTCGTGATATTAGGGTTAGGTTGGTTACATAAACTGAGGGAAGAAGTGTTCTTTTCCTTTTTTTCAGTCAACGTATGTCATATTGGTGTTTTTTCCTTGAAACCATTTGATAGATTTCACCAGTGAAGCCATCTGGAATTTGATGATGTATTCAGTGTTTTTGATTGATAGAACACTAGTCAGATTTTCTCTTTCAATTTTTGTGCAAATTTTATTTTTTTAATGGATCTCTCAGATCTTCATAAGATTTCAGCTATTGTTTCTTCAAATATGTCTTCTGACCCTTTTTCTCTCCTTCTGTCTAGAAAACTTTAATTATACACATATTTGAACTTTTGATGAGAACACTGGGTTTCTGTGCCTCTGTTTCTTTATTGATTTTGTTTTTTATTTTTATATTTTGGTTTTCAGATTGGATGATTTCTATTGCTGCTCTGCTGCACATCTTTTACTTATTCAGTTTTGCTGTACTGTAGTGAACCCAGGCCCTCCCACATGCTGGGGGAGAGCTCTGTTACCTCCAGTAGCACTGTTACAAATTTCACATTGAGACAGAGTCTCACTGGGTTGTCTAGGCGGGCCTTGAACTTGAGATCCTTGTGCCTTAAGGCCCCCAGGCGACTGGGATTATAGGCATGTGCCCACTTCCTACTGCTAGATCTTAAGCTTGGTTTTTTTTCATAAGTTATGTTCATTTTGTTATTAATTCTATCAGTGAAGTTTATTATGCCATGTGTCATAATTATTGTTTCGTAATTTCCTATTTCAGTATTGATATTTTATTGGGGGGGTATGAGAAGTGAGGGAGACATTTTCCTTCTGTTTGAATTTTTTGTTTTTTCATTTATTGCAAGTTTGCCTTTATTTTACTGAGTACAGTTAAAATAGGTGCTTAAATGTCTGTCCTTCAGTTCTGAAGTCCAGGCCATGTTGATTTTATGAGGCAGTGACGTTCTCTTGCCTTGACAGGGAGCCTTTCCGTTCTAGTTCTTCACATTCTACTCATTTTGGATTGCGTTACTGGATTTTATGAATGTATATTGTGGAAACCCTGGATTTTGTTTTATTTCTCTGAAGGATGTAGGTATCTTTGTTTTAACATCTACTTAACTTTGTTAAGCTGTCTTTCAACTTCGTTTTTTGGTAGGAATTCAAATCTTTCCTTAGTCTGACTTTTGCATTTAATTTTTGGCATACATAATTCTGGGGTCAGCTGGGGATTTTAATAAATTTTTTGTACCAAATTTGGGAATCCTCAACTCTGTTTCTTTTCTAGAATTTCTTCCTCAAATTTTAGCATTATGGTTGCTTTGAACCCTGCTACTCAGTCTTTTTTAAAAAGCTCAGAAATTAGTTTGTCCTAGGATGTTTGTTTCAGTCTTGACTCTCAGAATCTGCCTTATTTTTGACCACTCCAGGCTTCCGATTGTTGGCTTTAATATTGTGTTTGGAGCCTAAGAGTTTATGGTGGACACTTCTAGGTAAGGGTGAGTCATCACCCTCCCCTACAGAACTGAGCATGTACTTTTTTATAAACAGAAAACTAGTGATGAACATTTTATAGAATCATTATTAAACAAAGTATGGCCCATGGGAACTTTTGCGAATTGATTCTTTATGCTCAGTAGGTTCTGTATGTTCATTGTGCAGTAGGTAGAAACATCTTCAGATAGAGCCCCTCTTTAATTGGGTTATTTTACTAGATGATGATTAATCTGAAATTAATACTTTGTTGTATTTAAGCTACTATATGAAATACAGTAGATGAATACAGTGTGTGAAATAAAAAATGCAGTTTTCCAGTGTTGACCTTGATCTAGAGGACGACACGTCATCATCTCTCTGTTTAGAATCTCAGAGTCCATGTGAGCACTGGCCATATCTGGGGCAGTTCGCTTAGGAGCCACTGCTTTCAGAATACTGAAGAAGGACAG